TGACATAGCAGTGACTAGCACCATCCACTCAAGACTGTTTTCAGAAGATGCTGACTTCAGAAGGAAGCCTCTCAAAGAACGCTAGAGGCAATGTGAAGTCAATGCAGCGTTTTGTAAAGTGACTGCGCAGAACGGACCAAGAATTTTTAAAAGTACAGTCCATTTAGTACAATACTTTCACTTCTCGGAACCTGTCGCTCTTGGGGAATCAGATGTATATAAAAATTACTTAACAAAAATATTCACATTGGAAGTTCTGGAGACTGGATGCACAACACTGTCAGTGTATGACCAAACTGTACACTTAAAAATAGTTAAGATGGGAACTTGTAATGTGTATTTTATCACAATGAAAGATCTACAGGCATTTAATAGCAAAAACAAAACATCTTGACTCAATGTTTTTTTTAAACTGAAAAATAGTATAAATATCAAACAGTAAGAAATGAGTTAAAAATCAATTATAGAATATTGAAACAATGAACATCAAATATCAAGTTCTTCAGGCACACTGTCCGTGCTCATGATATAATATTCAGGAAAATGACAGAGCACATGTGGTACTGCGTTTAGGAAGAATTAATTAAAAAAAAAAACAACTAGAAAATCAAAACCCTAAGAATGATCCTGTCTCTCCACTGGGATTTCCAAATTTTCTACAATAAACACTCCAGCGGGGTGAGAGAAGGAGGGCCTTGGTAGACATTAACTCATGGTCCAAGAATCAAAGGGCGGAATGACTTCCACTTTACAGCTAGTCAGCTTTGAGGTTTTCCCTTAAAGAAACAGACAGTCTGAGGGGTTTTCAGAACTGCTACATCAGCTCTGTCAACCGAGACAGCATTGGGACTGGACACAGCAGAGGTGCAAGGGCAGCAGAACCCCCATATGTTCCAGGACCCCCAGGGGCTGCCTGAAATCACAGAGTACTGAACCCTATATATACTGTATTTTTTCCTATGCACACATATCTATGATAAAGTTTAATTTATAAATTTGGCAAAATACAAGATAAATGACAATAAAAAACAGAATGGGATCTCTCTCAAAGTATTTTATAGTAAAAATTTAATGTATTTCCCCTCTTACCTAAAGCACTCATCACATGCTATAGTTGTAACTTGTGCAGTTTGATGTGTGAGAGCAAAACCAGCACCAATTTTTTTCCTTCCTCACAATTCCACGTATAGAAAATTCGTTCTTGCTGCAGATCTTAGCTACTTCAGCTAATGATTTTTTTTCATTTCTTATTAAGTCAAGAACCTTTGCATTTAAAGGAAACACTGCACAGCTTCTCTTCAGCATGTCTGAACAGTCAGCATCACTACTCTTGAGCTTCGGGTCCATTATTAAGTAAAATAAGGGTTGCTCGAACCCAAGTACTGCAATATCAAAACAGTAGATCTGATGGCCATGGGGACTATGCAGTGACTAATGGGCGGGACACACACAACAGAGAGTCAATTCACGTCCCCGGCAGGACAGAGCAAGATTTCATGATGCGATGGCACACAATTTAAAAATCATGAATTGTTTACTTCTGAAATTTTCCATTTAATATTTTTGGACACCAACTGACCAGAAATAACTGAAACCATAGAAAAACAAGCCACAAATAAGGGGCAATGACTATAATCAGCGCTACCCAGTCTCCCCATATATGTGAGGATTAGAAAAGCAATATCACCCACTTTTCACCATCTGCTGTTTCACCCCATTTACAGTAGCTTAAAAAGTCCCTTCCTGCCTCCTTCTGACTGTTTCATAATGGGCCCAAAGTGATCTGGGAAAATGTAATCCAAATATAAAGGCACAGAAGATATTACTAATAAACAATCCACAGGAAACGGGCTTAGCTCTTCTCTGGAAGACAAAAGGATGCATTGCAAATACTAATGAATTCTTAATCCAAAAAGGCTTGCAACACCACAGAACTACTTTAATGGATACTGACCCTTGTTTTCATCACCAGAAAATTTACTTCTCATTTAGCAAAAACAAAAACTTTTGAACAGTACTCAGGAAACTGAATCTTCCAACTAGCAGTGAGAAAATATAAATACTGTAGAGCAACATGAAAGAAGAGTAAATAAAAATAACTGGCAATAGAATTGGAACATAAACTCAACCACATAAAATGCAGGGTCCCATTACTTCAAAGTTAATGACATTTTCTCTGGTCCAGGGTTCTTGTGACCTAGGAGCTGATCACCAAATGTACTAGTATACACACCTTCATTATTGATACAGGCTGTGTGGAGTGCCTGTGACAGGAGTTTCTAGTATTTGCCTTTTGCTAGAATAATAGTTTTAGTCCAGTAGTTTCTTGATTAGCATCAATTAGTGGAGTTTTTCTGTCTAAACAGGTAAAACAGGTTTGGTTTTTGGTTGGGTATTTTTGTTTTGGTTTTGCCTTAAACAGAAGAAAGAGAAGGGCAGCTAGACTTACAAATGAGAAGAGAAGTCACAAAAGTAAGTTCAAAGCTGGGTCTGAAAGATTATGTGCTCTTGAAGCACAGCTGGGAAGGGAAAGCAGAGGGGATGCAGTAGGTGGGGGCGGGGGGGCTCTCTACCTTATGGGTTCTGCTCACACACTGTATTTACTGTATCATTAGCAACAACAGTGCTAACTTTTCAAATAGATGGCTATTTTAAAATCCAGTGCACGTTCACAACCATATGTCAACTATTTTTATAGGCAGGTAGAACATTAGGGCTCTGGATAATTTTCCAACAATATGGTTTAAACAGAAGTCTGTGTGTGTTTAACACTGTGGAAAAATGTTGTTTACTGTCTGATGTATTCTGAGTCACTGCCACTTTTAAGCAAGCATCTCTGCCCTTAACTTTCCTTTTTGATTAAAATTACCAAGATAATGAAACCAAATAACCACTGTGAGACATGAGTTTGCCGTTCACATTTGGGCAATCATCAAACTGCCCCACCAGAGAAGAATGCACTTAGTGTATTTAATTATCATTTGAACCAAAAGCATCTAATATTTCCTTCATTCCATTAAAAGGTTGAATTTTGCAGAATTAGTTATTCCCTTCCATTTGTAAGGCCCTGCAGAGAACATATTAGCAGAAATAAATTTATTCCTATAGAGAAAAAACAAACTTTGAGATATTGTCTCAAAAGCTAAAGACAGCTAATTTGGTCAGGACACAGGAGACAAAGTCTTGTCTGGGATTTCTCTGCAGGTTTGCCTACAGCCTCATTGAGACCCTTCTGGGTCTGACCGTTCTTGCCACACTTCCCAAGCTTGTCATTCATTGCTACCTGATGTCCCAAGAAAATGCCACAAGGTAAGTAAACAGTAATTGTGAAGTAATGAATGTGCCTGCTAACCTTATTGTGGTAATCATTTTGTAATATATATATCAAATCATTTCATTATATACCTTAAACTTACAATGTTATGGGTCAATTATATTTCAAAAAAGCTGGGGAAAAAACATTTTAAAGTCCTGTTAAAACTAACCTTGATTTTTTATCAATAATATTTCTGAAATATAGTATGCCCCAGAGTTTCTCAGGTGTTCACCAATCTTAGGGCTCAAGAGGCATCAATTCATTTGAGCAGCACAGACTACAGGAGGGAAACCTCTAGAACCTGGCTTCTATAGATGAGGTACACTTGGAGAAGACATCATGCCTGCCTTCAATCATCAGACATAAGAAACATACATACACTAATTCAAGGAAAAAGGACAAATGATGAAGCTAATAAGAATAAAGGCAAAATGCTGTGCACAATTTGTAAAAAGCAGTAATTCCCATGGGGTAACTGGCGAAAGGGGCAGTGTGGGAACTGGGATTTGAAACAAGCGAAGAAATCTGACAAAGAGATACAGCAGCGGGGGGAGGGCAAAGAGAAGCAAGAAAGGACATTCCAGGAATTTCCCCAAATACTGATAAACAGGTCAAATTCCTTGGCACAGGAAATCACTTCATACCAAAAGGTTTCCAAGTTCCAGCTAATGACTGGATTGTAAACAATGTTGTCCAAAATAAGAAAGTTCTATAACAACAAAAGATTTCTGGACAATCACCAACTCAACAGCACCGATGCTAACTTTCACAGCTTAAGGTTTACCTTAATCTTACACCCCCCTTCAAACTGCAAATATCTACTACATGATTTAGAAATAATGCATATAACATATTGAGGAAATTAGGAAAACAGATGCCTATTTCACAGTCCAAGAGCATATTTTAGATCAACTCCAAACATGTCTATTGTGTAAATGTAAACAATTCTTACACTGGCATATGATCAATAAGGCCCCAGTTTATCTTGCCCTCAGTAAACAAATACTCAGAAAACTTAGAAGAAGATCAAAGAACTTTTATAACTCCAGGTATCAGCATTTTGGCATGGCTTTCCTCACATCTGATTAAAATTAAGTAACGTTTGGGTTATTACTGGTAAAGTAAAATGCAAAAAGTTACTAATAAAAAGGGAAGCCAAAATACTTCAAATAATCTATAAGTCCCTTGTCCTACCACTTTACAAGTCTGAATTTTCACCAACAATTAAATTTTATAGCTGTTCAAATGCTGGATGATGTAATCAAGGAGAATATATCAGTATATAATGCTAAGCAGTAATAAACAGACTGTTGTCAGATTACACTTGCCAAAATCCATAACCTTGTAAACATACCACAGAAAGCTTAGATTATAGCATTTCTCTAATTTGTGAACAAGAAAACAAAACTGTTAGTCAATGTTAATATTGATAACACGAATCTTTGTAAAAAAAAAGTCTAGTCTGGGCAATCAATATGGTTTACAGATAGGTTGAACTAAAGAAATCAATCTATCCAAATAATCTTTTTTTTTTTTTTTAAAGATCTCCTTCTTCCAGAAGTTACCATAAAAAAGAATAAAAACCTTCTGCTGGAAGATTTCTTGTAGGCACTAGCTTTGCCTAATTCCAACACACTCGCTACTTATATAACCAAGAAGCTAGTTAGGGGACTCGTTCGTTTACCTGGGGACTTTTTGGTTGACCTTGATGGCACAGAGTGAGACTGTCGAGGCAGCAGAGGTGATGAAGGCAGAGACATGGAGACACCTTTAGCCAAGCTCACCCTGTAGGCATCCTCTGCCACTGGAAGGCTGCTCACAGAAAACTCACCACCATGGCCAGGGGGCAGGACTGGAGGGGAAGTCTCTGGACCAAAGTCACCTCCTGGAGTGGACAGAGAAAACCTTAGGTTAAGCCACAGATGCAAGTTTAATTCCCAAGAACTACATTCTTAGTATTCCCATATGCATGTGTTGAGTTTTTTTTTTTTAATGATTTTTTTAAAAAGATTCTCCTCTCATCCCATCCACTTCACACTCCCCAGGACAGAGTCCACCGTCCTACAACTCAACCAGCCCAAACCCTTAGTCCTGAAACTGGAACCGTGGCTCACTGATGAAGCAGGTTCTCCTCAATATTCAGCCCCTAATGAACTTAAGGACAAACAAGCTTACTATTAAGAAATTAAACATTCTAAGGCACACATATTTTTTAAAATGCAGAGAATGCAACTAAAAACAGAATACAGGGAAGGCAATCTGTCGGCTAGGACCAGAACCTTAAAAAAATACAGCCTGTCCTCAAGTACTCAGATGTCATGCTTTCCTCCTTGACCCCAGGCATATACAAAGAAGCAACTGAGATGGGGCAAGAAGAGGAGATAAATTATTTTCCTGAAGATTAAAAGAGCATCTTCAAGCTTTGCATTATATACAGCAAAACTGGAAAGGTACAGAACGTTTTCCACAAGCTAACTTGTCTCTCTGACAAAAGTTACCAACTGGTCCTTACCATGCCCTTCCTGACTCCAAAAACCAAAGCCTGGATTTGAACTTACACCATTTATTTAGCCAGGTGGGAACTCAATTTTTGCAGATCTTTACACACAACACTCAAAAAGGATGCAATCCTAACCGTCAAGTCCCCAAAGGCATCACTGTACTTGTTTTTCACATTAGGAGGCATGAGGAAGTAGAGAGTTACTCCCTCCACAGACCAGGAGGGAGTAGGGAGGGGAAGAGTTTAAAAAGGGCAAACATGCTCAAGCACTGCTTTCAAAGGCAACTCAAAACCAGCAGGGCTGTGAACAGAAAAGCCACAGGTTCCGCAAGGCGTAAGTTGGCACCATCAGAAAGTAATTTCAGTCTCAGTTGGGCTAGCTATGCTTGAAAGGGTTTTAATAAAGTTGGGGAACTAAATATCCAAACGACCTATATTTGAAGAAATGACAAGAGTGACCAGGAGACTCTCACCAGAATTTTCAAAAACAAGAACATTATGCAAACATGTAAGACAAATAACGTTCTTGTCCGTGAGGAAGGGAAGCATGCGGGCTGGAGTTAAAGGAGCACCTTACCTCCTAAGTCCCAATGAAGGCCAATACCTCCTCCTCTTACAACCCCTTGCCCACCCTGCTTCTGGAGTCTGCGCTGTAAGATACTACCAGCTCCAGTTCCCATGACCCAGGAGCTAGTCTCACACCAACACAGACAAGCATGAAATCTTCCAAAAACCACCTCCTTGACGTCTTAAGCCAGGGCATGAAGCTTCCCAGTTGCCTCCCCTTCAGCAGTCTGGTGATAAAACCGATCTTAAGGCAGAACAGGAGATGCGCCATAACACCAGCTCCCCCTGGGGCTGAAGGTTCACCATGCTAAGACTTGAAGAGACAGCTGTTTGCTCTGGTCCAATATCAGGCTCTCATGATCAGTCCCCCCACCACATTGGTCTCATCTTAGGAATGCTAACAGGTGCTGTGCCTTCAAGAATGATAGCTGGTCACCTGATTCCTGGTTTGGCCAAAAACCCTGGAAGACACACAAGAACATGGAAGACATCGAGGCCACAGCCCAGGGAGTTACATACATAGAATGTGGAGGCTCTTGAAGAGGCAACACTGGTTTTTCCATGAGGTTCGAAGAGAGCTACCCTGCCCTGGGATTGCCCTTGCACTGCCAAAACCACCAGCCTGGAAACTCAAATGGCTACGGGGTGGCCTGATGGGAGCAGGCACTGTCTTCCTACTCACACACAAGTATCTCTGACCAAAAACAAACAAGCCCCAGACTTCAAGTCACCTCATCTGGATGAGGACACAAAATGAGGGAGAGATGCATCTATTACAACACCACCAGAAATAAAACCGTAAGCTCATTACCAAGAAAGCATTTATTTTCTTAAATACTTAGAATTCTTCAATGTGATACAAGAAGAAATTGGAGATTGAGGGGTGAAAGAGAATGAAAGCGTTTCCTAATTACAAATTCTGCCCATAAACTTTGTTTATATCAAGCAAAGCAAATATTTTCATTAACTGCAAGTCTGGTGGGGATGGGTTTCCAAAGAAAGTCATAACCATGAGGACCTTCGGCCTTCAGAGCAGCTGCGCTCCAGTACTTTGATTTTACGTGGTCTGCAATAAAACGGGACTTAGAGATGGGGCTGGGGGAGGGAAGGTTTCTATTTCAAGTTTACTTTGACATCTCACCATAACATGAGTCCCAAACATGCTGTTCTGTTGGTTTGTTTTTAAGACACAATTAAAGATCCCTAACTTCCAGCTTCCTTTCATCACAAAGGCACGAAGCAGAGAAAGCAGCTTTATGTATGAACAAGAGGCACAAACAACTGGGTGATCCATTGGCTAAGAGGCTGGAGACAGCGCGCCGGAGTCTGGTGCTTTAACTGAATCAGACAAGGGGTTCAGGTCAAAGTCAGTCCAAGAGCATCACAAGGATGCCGACGCCAGTGCCAGAAAGAGAAAGTCTCTTAGGAGCATCCACAGGACTATACAATACTGGTTCTAGGCAACATGACACCAGAAATTCTCCAGTTGATTTAACATTCCCCAGCAGATGTTTAAAGAGGTTTAAGAGGAATTAAAAACATTTCACTGCAACAACCAGTACGCCTGGCACATTTCTTTTTAGCCTTGAAAAGATGTTTTTCTTTTAACTGTGACTTATTTTATTCCGTACCTCAATTAAGTGACAGGAAGCACACCTCAATCCCCCTTCCTGTTGCTGAAGCAGGAATGCCAGGTAGGTTGACGCATCCTCTCCAGGGTAGGAAAACCATACTATCAACTACCCGTGACTTACCAGCCCTCCTCCAGTTCCCCTGGCAGGTGTTTCCCATTTATTCGCCATGGACACTCACATCCACCCCCAACATGCTTTCACTCTCAGAAAGCATCTAATCCAATCACATGAATCCACAGACAAGAAGCCGGGGCATGGAGGCTAACCGTGAAAAGCAAGGTCAAGGCTAGAACTCCCAAAGTCCCCCCAGGTGGCTGTCTCATGCTCTAACATACTACTGTACATATTTAAGAACTTAAACTTTAAAAAAAAAAGCAAGTACTCAAAACAGATGTAGTTTTAAATGAGTTGATTCTATACAGGGTTAACACATTTTTTTTGCAATAGAAGTTTAGGCTTTGCGAGTCACATACAGTCTCGGCCATTCACACACACACACACACACACCCCTTTTCTTATTTTAAAATCACCACATACAGTCTCGGCCATTCACACACACACACACACACACACACACACACACCCCTTCTCTTATTTTAAAATCACCACATACAGTCTCGGCCATACACACACACACCCACACACACACACACCCCTTCTCTTATTTTAAAATCACCACATACAGTCTCGGCCATACACACACACACACACACACACACACACACACACACACACACACACCCCTTTTCTTATTTTAAAATCACCAACTTAAAAATTTCAAAAATAAAAGACCAGAAAGGGCATACACACACACACACACACACACCCCTTTTCTTATTTTAAAATCACCACATACAGTCTCGGCCATACATACACACACACACACACACACACACACACACACACACACACACCCCTTTTCTTATTTTAAAATCACCAACTTAAAAATTTCAAAAATAAAAGACCAGAAAGGGCATGAGGGTATAAGGTTCTTCCTGTTTGTAATACATATAAGCAAATATACATACATATATATGTATGTGTGTGTGTGTGTGTGTGTGTGTGTGTATTAAATAAAAGCAAATACCCATATACATATTCTTTCACACATGAAAACTAAATCCAAGTCATAGTTTGCAAAGATAATAGAATTATCAAAGGGTATAAAGTTATCCAATAAGGCTTTCTAAATTGGCAGAAATAGCCTTTGATAATAGTTCTTTAATTTTTTTCCACTATTACAGACTGTGAAAAAGGATTTAAACTCATAATGGAAGAAAATGCAAACCTGGGAGATGATGAATGTTTAACGGCGGCTGTGCAGAATGGCCATGTCCAGCGCTAGAGATTAAAGTCCATGGAGTGCAGGATTAGGGAAGGCTTAAAAAAAAACGAGGGCAACAAAGCCAGGGAGATGAAAGTAAAAGTGCATTTCTGAAAAGAGTAGACCTGAGAAAGGCAAGGGTGAGCTTAGACATCCAGGTAAACAGGTCTGCAGATGCAGGAAATAAGATTTCCATTTATTGTGCCATTGAAGTGGCAAGATGGAGGAGGGGGGAATAGAAGCTTAGAATAGAAAACAGAAAAGACGTTCTGTTTATCCAGTTCCAGAAAACAGGACTGGTGCAATACATTTAACTAGGTCATTAAATGTGTTAGGGCATCTTTTGTGCAGCTCCTGCCCAGGAGTGCACTCATGTTTCTTAGCCATATCTTCCATCATAAGGCTTTGTATCCATATAACTCATGTATATTTACAGAGACCTAGAAAATTGGAAAAGATTTCCTCCCACAGGATCCAATATCATTTTTGGAACCTTGAGAAGGCTCTCTCTGAAAGCTCTTTAAACCATTTTACATCTTATAGGATCTCCCAAGTATCAAGCCAGAGCTGACTGTTAATGTGCATTTTCAAAAAGAAACATTAATGTATTCAAGACAGCAATTTTCCAAAACATTCTTCACACAGTCATGACTAATTCTCAAACAATAGCGCTAAAAGGCAACAAAGCCACTAACCCCAGAGCACAGAAAAATCTGGTTAATAGAACAAGTTTACCCTTTTGTCTTCAAAACTCCAGAGGATTCTGAAGAGAGCTCAGTGAGGACTATCCTCACAGTTTTATTCTTAATACTCGAAGGTTACAGAACCAAATGTACTTTATCCAGAAACAGATGAGTAAC